TCTATCTATCTATCTATCATAACCCATCTTGTGCTATGTGGCCAGGCCAGTGTAAACCCAAGCACTAAAGGTGAAAGAAAAAGCATTATTATATATATGCAATATTTAAATATCTGCACTATGAATGGCTCCATATTACACATCTACAACATTTTTGATCAGGCAGGCTTTTCAACGCTCCGGTGACGCCATCTAGATGCGTCAGAGGGCCCACTTTAACTCACATGTAGGCCCACTGTGTGCGTGCCTGAAAGGAAACACTTCAATCACGTTTAAACATCGTATCGATACGTTTAGATATCGATAAAGCGCGCTGTTTCTGCACAATGAGCGCCCAGATCACTTGTGTCGGCTGGGTGGGGAGAGGCGTTGCCAAGGAAACCCCGGAGAAAGTAAGTCGCTAACATGTTTACATGCTGCACATGTTGTATAGTGACAGTAGTTATAGCCTAACGTCAACATAAATATAATTATACATTTGAATACAGGTGAACATGCCCTAAGTTAAGTCACATTTGCGAAATAGGCAGGTTAGATAACACATGAGAGGTTGTATTTCACATACAGATGATGCTGGTGTTGCAGCAACTTTGGAAAATGTAACTAAATCTGTGGAAAAGTGGAGTTTATCCATCAATTCATTGAACTTTGGGGGAAATTAAGTGGACAGTTTTGGAGAAAAAAAAAGAGTGCATGCTGTGAGTCTGTTGTTTGACAGTTAGACAATGATAATGTTTAATTCCTGTGAATATTTACAGCTTGGTGTTCAGTGTTACATTACTGTATTTATGGACTTACTAACATCCTGATTAGTAATTCATTATAATCAGGTTCACTGGAAAGGTCAAGACTTAATTCCAAACACAATGTACCTGCAACAGATTGCTTATTAGATCGAAAAATCTAATGAAACAATTCCTGTGTATTTACAAATGTAACAACAAATGCTAAGGGCAAAAAACGTTTAATAATAATATAATACACCCTCTTTGTTCTTTTATCTGCTCAGAGCTTGAGTTTATAATTTTTTTAAGCCGCTATTTTTAAATTCCCTTTCAGGTTGAGTTGAGCAAAGAGGAGCTACAGCGCATCATTACTGAAGCAAAAGAGGAGCTGGGGTATGTTTGAATAAAACACACGTCACTGCAGTCTGTGCCTCTGTTTTATCTGCTGGTTTTGTCAAAATGTTCAAATGTCACAACGAGTGGAAGCATTGCCCCGTTGCTCTTCGCCCGAGGCGGCCGGTGTCATGTTTCTTGTTCTCTCTGCTGAATCAGGGAACTAGCAGCCGAAGATGAAGAAGAGGAGGATGAAGGTATTGCTTCGGAGCCGAATCCTAGTAGTGACACAGCAGACGTCGCTGAAGTCCCAAAGGATGAGAATGAGGAAGATGACGAGCTAGCAGAGTACGGCCTGGATAAATATGATGAAGAGGATACAGGTGAGAGAGTGTTTACTGTATGTACAGTATGTATATTCTCCGTTTATTGTGTCTTACCACTTCACTTGTGTCTAAATAAATGTAACTGAGAGTCTTGTTCAGTCTGACCCGGTATCAACTCTTTCTCTGTCTTCAATTCAGTAACCGCTAACCTCGGCGACAGTCTGGCTGGGCTCACGGTGTTCTGCTCTAATGATGAGGATCCCTACATCACCCTCAAAGACACAGTGAGTGTCCTCTCTGATTATATGTGCATACACATTCAGTTTAGTCCTAATTCAATGATTCCCAGTGCAGGGATGTCATTAAACCTGAATTAAAGCCATACTGTTGTATCTCTGATGTTCACTGTTAGCTTTGTTCTTCCCTCTAGGACCAGTATGAGCGAGAAGACTTCCAAATCAAGCCCGGTGACAATCTCATCCTGACTGGCCGGGCAGAGAAGGACTGCTGCAATTTGGAGATTCATGGTAAATCTCTTCATATGCGACACAACGAGATGACAGCGAATACCTTGAATACACGGGGAAATACCTGTTTGTTTGGATACTGTTGTTTTAGCTTACACTATAAGCTGAATGCATAACACAATTAATGTACCTTTGCCTCCCTTCCCAAAACATGTATATATTTAACCATTGATCTCTCGCTTTACAGTTTATAACTCAGAGGAAGACTCTCTGTATGTTCATCATGACATCCTGCTGCCAGCTTACCCGCTGTGTGTGGAGTGGCTAAACTTTGACCCCAGCCCCGGAGAAGGACTCTGTAAGAATCTTGTGCCTCGCTCTGATAAACCTTTCTTTTTTTTTTTAATCCTGTTCCTTTTCAAAACAGGCCTCAAGGTGTATTCTCTTAAATGATTCTACATGACATTTATTTGACAGTAATGAATTGCCAGTACTTACCTGACCTTACTTACAGCTAACTACGCCGCTGTGGGAAACATGACCCCTCAGATAGATGTGTGGGACCTGGATGTGGTGGACTGTTTAGAGCCAGCTTTCTCCCTGGGCAGCAAAAAGGCTTCCAAGAAGAAAAAGAAGAGCAAGAAGGTACAAGCCTGTTTGTATACTGTCTTATACGAGCATCAGAGTGGTGAGAGTGGCGTCTGGTTAAGTTAGGAATCTGTAAGTCTGTGATTAACTGTGCTGTATTTTTACAAAGGGTTTGTTAACTTAATAATGGAAATGATTGGAAATGGGATGATTTCTTTTCTTTTTTAGGATGTTTGAAAGTCATTTTTGCATTTTCGACACCATCGACTGTCATTATTTCTTTGTTCTATGTGTTCAATATTATTAACACATTGCTGCCTGTTCTCTCTGATGCCAGGGGGCAGCAGCAGCAGAACCTGTCGAGGGGCACACAGATGCAGTGCTCGATTTATCCTGGAACAAACTGGTCAGGTCAGTATTTTTGGAGCATTCTTTGCACTTTTCTGCCAGTATGGGTGTAAAATAGGTCTTAAAAAGGTCTTACAAAGTACATTTAACCTGTTGAAACCTTCAGAAACTCTGTTAAACCTTTTTCTTGCTCAGAAATGTGTTGGCCAGTGGATCAGCAGATGACACCGTTATCTTGTGGGATCTTACTCAAGGCAAACCAGCCACAACTCTCCGCAGGCACACTGATAAGGTACTCCATGCTGGATGTAATCCACAGTGTATTTTTGGTTTTACACAGAATTTGCAGCCTTCAGCTTCTAGAAAACAAAATCCTTTTTCTTCTAGGTCCAGACATTAGCATTCCACCCATTTGAGGCTCAGACTCTGATATCGGGGTCATATGACAAGTAAGTATAATCTAGCATTGTTGTTACTTTATTGAAATAAAAGATTTTGTAAATTTGACTTTGAGACTTGTCTTTTCAGGACTGCTGTGCTGTACGACTGCCGCAGTCCAGACACCAGTTACCGGACCTGGAGGTTTAGCGGTCAAGTGGAGCGTCTGATCTGGAACCACTTTTCGCCATGTAACTTCCTGGTAGGTGCTCAGAATCTTCTGCTCCATTTCAAAGGAAATAATCCACGAACAAGGATCAGCAGTTTTACACTCAGACTCTATTTGTTTTCATAACATTTGACTGAGACACAGTGTCTCTCAACAACCGACTGTCCTGGCCTCCACGTCGTCCATTAATTCCTCATAATGGACGCCTCGTTGGGCATTATCCCTCACATAAACTGTCAAGAATCTCATCTTTGTTTTGCTACCTCTCAGTCTTGCGGAGATGAGACAGTCTTAAGAACATCGACAACATGATGAAATATGTAATCATTAGATTAGGCATGTGGTTGTGGTAACAAGCATGTTTGTCTCAGAGAGATCCAGTTGCAGAGATCCTCAGTGCTTTACTTTTCATTATTTCTGGTTAGAGGAGGAATGACTAATCATTCAAAAGTTAAATCACAGTTAACCGATTACACTATACATAGAGCTGGTGTGTTTGCTTTTAAATCATTGTGCAACAAACCATGTTTATCTCTCTTCTGGTATTTCTTTCACAAGCTCAGTGGATAACCCAGAGTTGTGGTTGTGTTTCAGGCCAGCACAGAGGATGGATTTGTCTACTGTCTGGACGCACGCTCAGATAAACCTGTTTTCACACTGAGGGCTCATGATGAAGAAGTGTCAGGTAGGTTGTGTGTGTGTGTGAGAGATTGAAAGAGAAAAAAAGTCTA